TTCTCCGGGTAGAAGTTGTTGATTGGCGAGAGCCCCTCGCACGGGAACGGCACGATAGTGAGGTACGGGTCCTCCTCCTCGATTCCTCGCATCGTAGCTGCCTGTGCACTTGGTAGTAGCAAGTTGTCGCCCGTCGTCCGCAGGTCTTTGCACTTGCCCGTCTTGAGTCCACAGCTGGTTGCGAGCTTCGTGACGTTGCACTCTCCGCCATATATCTCCTTGACCACCGTCCCAGGTACAAACAGTCGGTGCTGGTCTCTGCGTAGCACGCTCCAGGTCGCCTTCTGCTCCTGAGCGTAGTCCGCGATCCAGGCGTCCACCTGCTTCTTCCTGGACTTCGCCATGATGCCAGTGTCGTCCACCTCGGTCGTGATCTTCTCGATGGCCGCTGAGACGTACTTCACCTGATCCTCCTTCTCGGCTGCCCACACGTCCAGCGCCTTCGTGCTGATAGTCGGTGCCTCGATCTGTGTAGGCTCCTTGGGAAAGTCGGTGATGTTGATCATCAGGTGGTTCTTCTTGGAACGCGTGATCTTCACGGGCTGGTCGGATATACTCTTGAACACCACCTGGTTGCGCTTGACGTTGATGACTGCCTCCAGGGCGTCCATCTGGTCCACGCTCATGAGCATGGGCGCATCTGAGTTTGGTAGTCTCTCAAAGTTGAGAGTGCAGTCCCGTCCTTGGATACCGCTTGGTACTGCTTGTGTACTCTCGGCCTTGATGGGGGCCGCGGTATTGATGCCCTTGAAGATCGCCTGAGTGGGCATCTGAAGGTCTGCCAAGTCAAACTTCTCAAGATGGCTGTCGATCGCTCTGTCACCGCCGCATGGTGCCAAGGCTGCCGTGTCCAAGACCACGTAGCCAGGGGGTACCACCTGGCTTATCGCCATCGCGTCGACCATTCCGTCGTCAATCTCGTTGATCGTAGTGGTCACCTCGTCGGTGTAGTTCTGCGTCGGCTCGATCATGTATACCTCGGTCGGCTGGCCAACTCCGGTCGCAAGCATGGCGGCCGCTAGTCCAGTACGTGCCAGAAAACCTCCAGCGCGTCCACCACGTCCTTTACCATTGCCACGTCCGCTGGCTGCTGAGGCTCTGGCCTGTGGTGCCGTCTTCTTCGTCTTGCTGCACTCCGGGTCACCCGCCCAGTGTCCTGTCTCTCCGCAAGCTCTGCACTTGCTTGCTTTCTGGAAAGCCCCCAGCTTGTCCTGGAGCTCCTTCGAGCCGAAGCTGATCTTGCCGTCGAAGTCGATGTAGGTCTTGCCCTGTTTGAACCCTCGGTTCGTCTTTCCGTCCTTCATGAACTGACGCTGCCGGGTGTAGTTTGATGATGAGCTCGCTCCTTTTCCACGTCCGCGTCCTTTTGCTGCGATAGCTCCACCTAGTTTCTGAGCCTCGGAAGCGAACGTCTCCACCTCCTCGTCACCGAGGTCGTCCAGGTCCACGATGAGCATGGCCGTCTCGAGCTCCTCCACTTCAGCTGATAAAGCTTCCATTTCTTCAGCGTCGTCCTCGTCCTCGTCTCCACTTGCTTCTGCCTCTTGCTCTCCCTCATCTTCCTCCGGGTCTGCACCAAAGGCTGCATTCCACCGAAACTTCCGTCCATGATGCTGTTGTCGGTTCGATCCTCGGGCGTCGACGTTGTCGAGCTGGATCTCCAATACTTCGCAAATGGCGTCCCAATCGTACTCGTTCTGGGCTTGTCCCAAGAATGTTTTGTGCTGAGCCTCGGTGATGCCGCACATGTCTAGCAGAAAGAATGTTCGTAGATCTTCTGAAACTTGTGTCTGACCACCTGTCAAGTCTCGAAGCTTCTCGTAGGCGTCGGTCCTTCGCTGGATGAAATCCTTGATCTGCTCATTTGGCCTTCTGTGTCCGCGCTTGAAGTAGTCCAAGAACGCTTTATGTTTCTGCAGTGGTGCCACTTTCTCGCAATGTGAGCGTACACACTTGATGAGCATGTCGAGTGCCTCCTCGATCGCATCCTCCTTCTCTGTCGTTGTGCTGCCTTTCTTGAAATACTTGTTAAGCGCTGCCACGCTGATCTTCTCGTCCTTATGGCATAGTGTCCAGGCCCTTTCCGTCAAGCTGTTTTTGACTTTCGCAACGAAACCCTTTTTCTTCTCCAAGGTGTCCACGCCTAGAAAGCCCAAACGAACTCGCTCGTCCCATTCTTCTGCTGCTGCTGCGTCTCCGTCGTAGCATGGTGTGCCATCCTTGTCCAACCACACATGTTGGTTAGCTCCGCGTCGTTTTTCTGAGAAAGCCATTTTGAACGTGTAGGGGTCGGTGAGGTTGAGCTCGTAGTGGTAGTCCGAGAACTTGTTCTCGTTAGGGTATGAACTGCCTGACCGCGAGGAACAGGTCTTTGAGATATGAAGGAGTGTCAAGAAACTGAACCAATACAAAAGCATAGGCCGTCTCGAAACACAAGCTCCGCACTACCAGTGTCAATGATAATGATGTCGAGCTGCTTTTGGCCGAGAGCTGCAAGATCCGCTCGGTCGACCTTTATGAAATGAGGCGTATGCCTCGCACACACAGCTTGTGAAATCAGGGAAACCCCAGTCTGTGACTGGAACACATCTGATAACTTGTTATCGCTGCTGGCTCGAAAAGGGGATCCCCTGGTATCGTTCGATAGCAAACGGCCGCGGAAACATAACGTGTTATGTTATCCTGTTTTAAAAACTCCACTTACCCCGGTCGGGGTACCAGTCTCTAAACTGCTGAGCTACTGCGTTTCGGCTGGGGCACAAAACTCGCTCATCTTCGCACAAGAGGCCCCCAAGTGGCCCCCGAGAGGCCCCCAGATGCTCCACGAGGCCCCCGAGAGGCCCCCAAGAGGCCCCCAAGAGGCTCCCAAGAGGCCCCCAGAGGCTCCAAGAGGCCCCCAAGAGGCCCCACGAGGAGCCCGAACGACTCACACCAGGACGAGGGGCCCGAACGACTCACACAACGAAGAGCCCGAACGACTCACACCAGGAGGAGGGGCCCGAACGACTCACACCAGGACGAGGCGCCCGAACGACTCACACCACGAGGAGCCCGAACGACTCACACCAGGACGAGGGCCCCGAACGACTCACACCACGAGGAGCCCGAACGACTCACACCAGGAGGAGGAGCCCGAACGACTCACACCAGGACGAAGGGCCCGAACAACTCACACCACGAGAAGCCCGAACGACTCACGCCAGGACGAAGAGCCCGAACGACTCAAACCACGACGAAGAGCCCGAACGACTCACACCAGGAAGAAGGGCCCGAACGACTCACACCAGGACGAGAGGCCCGGAGATATGCGGGGGCAGGCGGAAACACGCCTGAAAAACACGACTGTCGGCATGCTTCGCAAGAGTTGCTGTTTTGAGATGGGCTGGTGGGGATACGCGAAGCGTGAAGAATTCGCGTTGTCCTTGGGTTTTTGAAGGATTTTGACATTTGCTACTTTTGGGCCTTCCGACGGCCCGAGACGGCCCAAGAGCCCCCAAAGATCACCCAAAGATCGCCCAAAAGGCCTCCAAGATGGCCCCAGCACGGCCCGAGAGAGGCCCAAGACGGCCCCAAGGGGCCCCCAAGATGGCCCAGGAGGCTTTTTAGACGCTCAAGATGGCCTCCAAGAAGGCCCAAGAACCCTCCAAGATGTCCTCCAAGAAGGCCCGAAAGGGTCAAAATGGCCTCCAGACGGCCAAGATGACCTTAAAGATGCCCACGTGTTCCCCGAAGGCTTTCCAAACCGATTCGGGGAACACATGGTCCGATAGCTTGGCAGATCTGGCCTCAACATTCGGCCACATAGTCGCGTCCAAAAAAGCAAGGGGCGGCGGTGACTCGCCGTAATTAGGCGTCTTCGATATCCGCCGCCCCTGTTGATTTATCACAAGGGTGCCTGGCATGCTGAATCGAAGACGCCTACGGCGAATCACCGCCGCCCCCTGCCTTTTGGATTCGCCCACGTGGCCGAGCGTTGTGGCACGAGCTCTGCCAAGCTATTGGATCATGTGTTCCCCCAGCCTGGTGAGACCCTTCGGGGGACACCTGGGGGAGGACGGCGGGGAAGATCGGCCCACTTCACCCGCCGAGCTCCGCCAGAGGCAACGCGAGAAGCACAGGTCGCAGCAGCATCCAGTGTGATGGCCTCTCCCGGGAACGACAACACGGGAGCCCGGCAAAGTGCCACGCGCTGCTGGGAGAACGTGTGTGCGAAACGGTCACGAACACCCTACGGCTCACAAGAATAACAAAACCCATGCCGAAGGCAGAGCCCGAGCCCGCACGGGCGCCGCGTCACAAGGGCGAACGAGATTCGCTTCGAAAGCGGCGAGATCCGGCACCGCGGGCCGCACCTCCTTCGGCCAGCTGCTCCGCGTACCCGCGGCGTGGTCTACTAGAACATCCAAGGGGGAGAGGAGGGGAGGGGGTGCGCACAGCAAAGCGCAGACTTGGAAATTGGGGCAAATCGCCAAACTCACGGTTGTTCCATGCGGTATCGAACCGACGGAAAACGTCACCCTTCGTCCATGTTCGCTTCATTACTTTGGTTGGCTGGGGTTGTACAATCATGTCGACGCCTGTGCCTTCTTTGCAATGGATAGGACACCCCTTCAATGAGTACGTCAAACTGTGCTTTTGCGGAGCAGTAAATTTCCAAGCCTGCTGCATATACCAACATCTCTTTGTCACAGACCTGCTTAGACTTCAAAAGAAGATTTGCCAGGATCACTTTCCGGAACCAGACACCGTGGCCCCTTCGGAGCCTGCTGATGCTCCTTCCAGCGCGCGTCGCTCCGAAACTCTGGCGGCAGTCTGGTATAGGTATGGGCCCGGTCTACCCGATTCGAAGCAGACGCGCAACCATGTCTCGGGATCAGGAGAATGAAGGGGCCCCAGGACACACAAAATAAATACACACAAATAAAAAGATTACCCATGTTTTCTCATATTTTCTGGGTTTCTGTCTTTCCCCCCACTTCCCATATTTTCCCATATTTTCTGAGGAATCGAGGATTAATTGTGTCTGTGTGTTTTTTCCTCTCCTGAGAGAAGACAAAGGCGAGAAGAAGTGCACCAGACTCACGCTACCGATGCAGCTGCCCGTCGGCGGTGCCACTGCTGCCGGCGCGGCGGCCGTAGCGGAGGCTGCCGCCGAAGGTCGCAGAAGTTGCTGGACAGGCTGCCGCAGCAGAAGCACCAACAGGCAGGGCAAAAGCGTAAGACCAATAGGGACCTCACGGTAAAAGGACTCCATTGGCTGCGGAGGTGCAGGCCAGAAACCCAACTTGAGAAACACTGGCATCAACCCAAACGGCTTGCGCCAACACGCCTTAAGCCAAAATGGCTGCGGAGGATGGCGGGGAAGATCAGGAGGAGGAGGAAGAGGACCAGCGAAACCCCAAGACTCATCAACGATGTTGGAATACACCCTCCCTCCAAGATCCCTCTTCACAGGCCCCATACAAGGGTTCAAATCCACTGAGGGAACTGCCTCGTTGAGAGAGAACTGCTTGAAGACCTTGAAGCGTGCCACAACACCATTCTCACGACTCCGACACCACGAATCAACATGACTGTAACGATTTGACGATCCTGAACCCTGTCAGAACACCATTCCTGGGACTTCAACACTGCGAATCAACGTAACTGTTGCACCCTCACAATCCTTGCACCCTCACAATCCTGAATAATTAAAAAAAATCCCAGTGCGACCCTACCTGGGAGTTGGAGCCCCTAGGAAAGCCGCATTAGTAGTAACAGTAAAGCTAAGCTAAGTCAAAGCTGAACTAAACTAAAGCTAAGTTAAGGTAAGTCTAAGCTAAAGCTAAGTCAAAGCTAAACTAAAGCTAAGCTAAAGCTAAGCTAAAACTAATTTAAAGCTAAGCTAAAGCTGAGCTAAAGCTAAGCTAAAGCTAAGGTAAAGCTGATATACGGCTAAACTAAAGCTAAGGTACAGCTAAGCTAAAGCTTAGTTTAAGCTAAGCTAAATCTAAGCTAAAGCTTAGCTAAAGCTAAGCTAAATCTAACCCAAGCTACGCTAGATCTAAGCTAGAGCTGAGCTAAAGCTAAGCTAAAGCTAAGCTAAAGCTAAGCTAAAGTTTAGCTAAAGCTAAGCTAAAGCTAAGCGAAAGCTCAGCGAAAACTAAGCGAAAGCTACGCTAAAGCTAAACTAAAGCTAAGCTAACGCTATGCTAAAGCTAAACTAAAGCTAAACTAAAGCTAAGCTAAAGCTAAGCTAAAGCTTAGCTAAAGCTTAGATAAAGTTAAGCTAAAGTTAAACTAGAGCTAAGATCGAGCTAAGCTCACGCCAAGCTAAGATAAGCGAAGCTAAGCTAAGCTAAGCTAAGCTACAGCTACAGCTACAGCTACAGCTAAGCGAAGCTAAGATGAAGCTAAGCTAAACTAAGCTAAGCTAAGATGAGATAAGCAACGCTAAGCTAAGGGGACGTACCTGGGGGAACCGCGGGGCGGGGACTGGGGGAACCGCCAGGGGCGTTTTCCACTGCCCATCCCTTTAAGCAAACCAGTTAAGAACCCTCTAGGCAGAGCCTAGGTAGGGAATAATATTGCTGGCACCTGCTTGCAGCGAATGTGCGCGGCGCTATGGCGAGAACCACGGTTTGAAAACTAACCGCCCTCACTCCGTGAGGCTCTTGCACATGTTTAGAGCGAGTGTGCGTGGAGCCGAGGCGACAGCCACATTTTGAAAACGGCCCGCCCTCAATCCGTGAAGCGCTTGCCATGTTTGGAAATTCGTGTGCGCGGCGCTATAGCGAGAACCACATGTTGAAAACCAACCGCCCTCGATCCGTGAAACCCTGGCACATGATTAAAGTGAATGCGCGCGGCGCTAAGGCGAGAATCATATGTTGAAACCACCCGCCCTCAATCAGCAAAACTCTTGCAATGTGTAAAACGAATGTGCGCGGCGCTAAAGCGAGAGCCACAATTTTAAAACGACCCACCCTCCATCTGTGAAACTATTGCCAGCTTCTAAGCTTCAGGGTCATACTTGGTGAGGAAATCTTAGGGGAACCCCTTTTCCTCCCCTTTCGACCGGCCTCGGGGTGCGACAGGGAGTCATTTATAAGGTAAAGGAATGGAGGAAGAGGGGGCGTATTGGGAGCCTCTGGGGGCACTCTTGGATCCTCCCGAAAGCTTCCTGGGAGCCTCTTGGAAACATCTTGGGGACCTCCTTGGGCCTCTTGAGGATTGTGGGTTTGGGGGGGCTTCTCAGGGGCCTCTTTCCCCGTCTTAAATCATTCCTGGCCCGTCTGACGCCGTCGGAAACCGTCTTGGGGGCCTATCTGGGCGTCTCTTGGGCATTTCTAGGGCCATCTTGGAGGCCTCTTGGGCGATCTTGCGATCTTTGGGGGCTCTTGGGCCATCACGGGGGGGGGGCCGGAATACTGAGAAGAGACAAATGCTAACATACTTCAAGAACCACCAGCACATCAATGATGATGGCCTCGTCGGGCCTTCCTGGAGGCCCTCTTGGAGGCCTCTTACGCCGTCTTGAAGACCTCTTGGGGGCCTCTTGAGCCGTCTTGGAGCCATCTTGGGCCGTCTTGGTGGCCTCCTGGCCCGTCTGACGTCGTCGGAAGCCGTCTTGGGGGCCTCCTTGGGCCAACTTGGGGCCCTCTTGGGGTGCTCCAGGGCCGTCTTGGAGGCCATCTTGGGCGTCTTGGAGGCTTCTTTGGCCGCCTGGGGGCTCCTTGGGGAAATATTTCCCAATCCTCGTATGGTTGGGTACTCGTTTTGAATAGAGCAGTGTGGTCGCCTCGTCCTTCTCCTCCCCCCTCCTCCCCTCCTCCTCTCCTGTTTCCTGAGTTCCCCTCTCCTCTTCTCTCGTGCCGTCGGGCTGCGAACTGCGCAACTGTCGCCACTTTCGTGGGCTCCTGGGAGGCCCAGCGGAGGTACGTCCCACGCGGATCACCTCGAGACCTCGCGGCGCCCTGTGGGGCTGCCGCAATTGTCGCCACTTTCGTGGGCTCCTGGGAGGCCCAGCGGAGGTACGTCCCACGCAGATCACCTCGAGACCTCGCGGCGGCCTGGGGGGCTGCGATCTGCGCAGCTGTCGCCACTTTCGTGGGCTCCTGGGAGGCCCAGCGGAGGTACGTCCCACGCGGGTCACCTCGAGACCTCGCGGTGCCCTGGGGGCTGCGATCTGCGCAACCGTCGCCACTTTCGTGGGCTCCTGGGAGGCCCAGCGGAGGTACGTCCCACGCGGGTCACCTCGAGACGAGGGCGTCGACACGTTCGTGGGCTCCTGGTCGATGCCCAGCGGAGGTACGTCCCACGCGGTACCCTGCTGCGATCTGCGCAACTGTCGCCACTTTCGTGGGATCCTGGGAGGCCCAGCGGAGGTGGGTCCCACGCGGCACCTCGAGACCGATCTGCGACACTTTCGTGGGCTCCTGGGAGGCCCAGCGGAGGTACGTCCCACGCGGATCACCTCGAGACCTCGCGGTGCCCTGGGGGCTGCGATCTGCGCAACTGTCGCCATTTTCGTGGGCTCCTGGGAGGCCCAGCGGAGGTACGTCCCACGCGGATCACCTCGAGACCTCGCGGTGCCCTGGGGGCTGCGATCTGCGGTCGCCACTTGCGTGGGCTCCCGGGAGGCCCACCGAGGTACGTGCGGATCACCTCGAACCTCGCGGCGCCCTGAGGGCTGCGATCTGAGCAACCGTCCACTTTCGTGGGCTCCTGGGAGGCCCAAGGAGGTGGTCCCACGCGGATCACCTCGGACCTCGCTGGCCCTGGGGGGCTGCGATCTGCGCAACCGTCGCACTTTCGTGGGCTCCTGGGAGGCCCAGCGGAGGTAGTCCCACGCGGATCCACCGCGAGACCTTTCGCGTGCCCTGGGGCGCTGCGATCTGCGAAACCGCAATTGTCGCCACTTTCGTGGGCTCCTGGGAGGCCCAGCGGAGGTACGTCCCACGCGGATCACCTCGAGACCTCGCGGTGCCCTGGGGGCTGCGATCTGCGCAACTGTCGCCACTTTCGTGGGCTCCTGGGAGGCCCAGCGGAGGTACGTCCCACGCGGATCACCTCGAGACCTCGCGGTGCCCTGGGGGCTGCGATCTGCGCCACTGTCGCCACTGTCGTGGGCTCCTGGGAGGCCCAGCGGAGGTACGTCCCACGCGGATCACCTCGAGACCTCGCGGTGCCCTGGGGGCTGCGATCTGCGCAACTGTCGCCACTTTCGTGGGCTCCTGGGAGGCCCAGCGGAGGTACGTCCCACGCGGATCACCTCGAGACCTCGCGGTGCCCTGGGGGCTGCGATCTGCGCAACTGTCGCCACTTTCGTGGGCTCCTGGGAGGCCCAGCGGAGGTACGTCCCACGCGGATCACCTCGAGACCTCGCGGTGCCCTGGGGGCTGCGATCTGCGCAACTGTCGCCACTTTCGTGGGCTCCTGGGAGGCCCAGCGGCGGTACGTCCCACGCGGACCACCTCGAGACCTCGCGGCGCCCTGGGGGCTGCGATCTGCGCACCTGTCGCCACTTCCGTGGGCTCCTGGGAGGCCCAGCGGAGGTACGTCCCACGCGGATCACCTCGAGACCTCGCGTTGCCCTGGGGGCTGCGATCTGCGCAACCGTCGCCACTTTCGTGGGCTCCTGGGAGGCCCAGCGGAGATACGTCCCACGCGGGTCACCTCGAGGCCTCGCGGCGCCCTGGGGGCTGCGATCTGCCAACTGTCGTCGCTTTCGTGGGTTCCTGGGAGGCCCAGCGGAGGTACGTCCCACGCGGGTCACCTCGAGACCTCGCAGTGCCCTGGGGGCTGCGATCTGCGCAACTGTCGCCACTGTCGTGGGCTCCTGGGAGGCCCAGCGGAGATATGTCCCACGCGGACCACCTCGTGACCTCGCGGCGCCCTGGGGGGCTGCGATCTGCGCAACTGTCGCCACTTTCGTGGGCTCCTGGGAGGCCCAGCAGAGGTACGTCTTACGCGTTGCCGCTGCTCTTCTTGCTGCGCTCTTCTGATTTCACTGCTGGGTGCTCTTCTTCCGCACTGCGGGGTTTTCAGTATGCCCGTCAGCATTGAGTGGTCCTGAGTGAAATCACCACATGTATAGAAAGGGTTGGGTACGTCGCGGGGTAATTATTTGTTGAAGCTGCATGAGAACACTGCGTCACGCGGCGGAGGGGCGTGGGGAAGCGGAGGGGAGGGCGACGAGGAAGCGTGCACCCAATTACTCCAGCAGCTCGGAGAGGGCCCGCAGGTCGGAGAGGGACTGCGGGCGCGACTGCCGGCGCCTGGGCACAGTAAAGACCACCCTAAGAGGAGGACCCCTCGATTTGGAGCGGTTGACCTACCAATCAGGGCTGACCTGTTCGTCTGTCCTTCATGCCCCAAGCCTCCTTCCACACACACCAGGCCGCGGCCCGAGGTCCCCTGTGCGGAAAATCTGGAGACTCGTGCTGTGGAGGTCGCCACGAGGCGAGGTGCCCCGTCGCACGGGCTGTCGCTCGGGCGCGCGGGAACATGCATACAGAAACGGTGTATGCGAGCGTGTAAATAGACATTCTATGTACGTGCATGTGCATGTGCTCATGCTGCCAGAGGCGTGGCGTGTCGCAGGGGCGAACGCTTTGCGCAACGCCACGCGGCTTGCCTTTGGCACGCCAGCTGCGGCGCGCGTGCGCGCCAGTGCTTCGCACGACGCCGCGCAGCGTGCCATGCATGAAGGCCTTCAAACGTCCACGCGCAGCGAGCACGGGCGCCAGCAAGATCCGCTCAATCTCGTCACCCTGGTACTTCACACGGAGGCCGCTGCAAACGCCTGTCTGCCTCCCGCGGCTGCCCCTGGACGGCGCGCGGGGCTGCCGCGGCGGTGGCCGGCAGGCCCATGGGCGCCCCCGGCGAGGAGCCCCCTGGCGCCCAGTGGCTGATGAGGCGCGAGATCTTGCCCATGCTCTGCGCGTTCTGGAGCTCCAGCTGCTCGCGGAGCCGCCGGAAGTGGCGCAGGCGCCTCTCGCGGGCGGCGACGTTGCCCGCGATGGCCTGCCCGGGCGCGCCGCGGTCGACGGAGAGGCGGCCCCAGGCGTCGGACATGCTCAGAGCGAGGTGGCCGCGATCGTCCTCGCCGTGCTGCGGCGGCCGCGCCAGCGGCGTGCCGCGGGCCTGCCGGCGCGCTGGCACCGCGTACGCCTCGGGCTCCGGCTCGGGCTCCGGGCGCCCGCCGTCGGCCACGCGCTCGTCCCTGCCGGCTCCCTCGCCCTCCCGCGCCGTGGCCTCCACCTTCTCGACCTTGGCCACGCCCGAGGCGAGCAGCTCTGCGATGAGGTACCACATCGAGCCGTCGTCCAGCCCGTCCAGCAGGTGGCCCACCACCTCCTCCAGGCACCTCTCCTCCCAGTGCTCCCGCTGCTGCCGCGGGACCTCTCCCGGGGGCACCCGGGCGCCCGCGGTGGGCGGGGCGGCGCCGCCAGGGGAGCGGAGCGGCACCGAGGGCGGACCGCCGAGCAGGGGTGCGCCGCAGCGGGCGGCGGCGGCATCGCGGCAGAGGGCGGCTGCCATGGCTGGCTGGCGGCACGGGGGCGCGCTGCCGAAGTGCGCGGGTAGTAAAAAGAACTGTTAGAGCAGGGTGCTCCCCGAATCGAAGTGCGCGGGGGAGATGAGTTGCGGAACAAGCTTGCGCCAGCACGGCTTGAGCCGAAAGGGCTACGGAGGCTCCCTGGGGCAGTCTTGGGGACCTCTTGGGCCGTTCTGGGGCCATCTTGGAGGCCTCTTGGGCGATCTTGGGCCGATCTTGGGGAGCTGTTTGGTCGTCTCGGGCCGTCGAAAAGTAGAAATAGCGGAAATCCCAATCCTTCAAAAACCTTTGAAACATCAATGCTTTTGTCTTCTTCGGGCCTTCCAGGAGAACGTCCCTCTTGCGCCAGCTTTCTTTTTCTTCTGACGGCCAGGGCGAACGTCAGTAACCAAACGGTGAAACAATCAGCGCGCCAAATGCGTGCCAACCGCGTGCCAAGTGAACGATAACCGCGTGCCGTCGGCCATGGGCCACTGCGAACCTTCAAGGCCTGATGGTTTAACCAACCCCAGGGCCTCCTTAGGCCTTCTGTCCAAAGACAGGATTGCGTGGACGGGATCCCCAAACATGTGCCGGGTCTTATGGGGAGCTGTTTGTCGGATCTTGTCACCGAAAGGGAGCTGTGGATGGGGATGGGGATGGGGATAGGGGCTCGAGCTGTGGATAGGGATGGGGATAGGGATCGGTTAAACGACACTGACGCTGGCCCACCGAGGCCACGTCGCGGACGCCCCCGCTGGCCGCACAGCACTCTCCCGAGCGTGGGCCAGGGGAAGCCAAAGGAGGGCGGGCGGGCCCTGCGCGGCACCCGAGCCTGACCCGGTTGGCGCTGTCCCCTGCTGCCTGCTCCCAACATGCTCCTCCTCCTCCTCCTCCTCCTCCTCCTCCTCCTCCTCCTCCTCTCTCCCTCCTCCTCCTCCTCCTCCTCCTCCTCCCCCTCCCCCTCCCCCCTCCCCTCCCCCTCCCCCTCCCCCTCCTCCTCCCTCCTTCTCCTCCTGCCTCCTCCTCCTCCTCCCTCCTCCCTCCTCCTGCTCCTCTCCTCCTCCTCCTCCTCCTCTCCTCCTCCTCCTCCTCCTCCTCCTCTCCTCCTCTCTTTTTTTTACGTTAGACCGACCTAAGGGTTCCCTGTGGCGTTCGTGTTCCTCTCCTCCTCTCCTCCTCCTCCTCCTCCACCTCCTCCTCCTCCTCCTCCACTTCCTCCTCCTTCCTCCTCCTGCTCCTCCTCCTCTCCTCCTCCTCCTCCTCCTCCTCCTCCTTCTCCTCCTGCTCCTCTTCCTCCTCTCTCCTCCTCCTCCTCCTTTTCCTCCTCCTCCTCCTCCTCCTCCTTCTCCTCCTCCTCCTCCTCCTCCTCCTCCTCCTCTCTATTTTACGTTAGACCGACCTAAGGGTTCCCTGTGGCGTTCGTCTTCCTCCTCCTCCTCCTCCTCCTGATCTTCGCCGCCATCCTCCCCCAAAGGTGCCCCGAAGGGTTTCCACAACGGTTGGGGGAACACCTGGACCGATAACTTGGCAGAGCTCTTGCCACAAGGCGCCCCCAGGTACACATCACTAAGCCAGGTCCCTCTAAACCCAGCCCATCGACGCTCATACAGTAGGGGCCCGACCACAAGAAGCCTTCCACAAGGAACCCAACCCTGAGACCCCAGGACGTCCATCGGTTTTTGGTGTGGGAGCGTCGCGCGTTCCATCGCAAAGCCATCGAAACCCAAGAAACCCAGGGGGCTCTGGAGGCAAGCAGGGTGTTCTTGGCATGGGTCTCCACTGTATCTGTCTCCGGATCCCGCGTCACATCCGCAGAACTTCCGCTGCCCACGGACTCCCCTCCCCAAGGGGCCAGCGGAAACCACGGAAACCATTCTCGCAGAACTCTAGCTGCTCACACAAAGCACAACCCCCTAAAGGCTTAACGGTCCCCCCAGAAAATTAGCTGGACAGCAACCAAATCCATGTGGAGCTGCGCGTATCGCGAGGCAGGTGGGACGAGGGAGGGTGGCCACGAACCGTGTGATGGGTGTGCCGAAGTAGAGACGGTGCCGCCGTGAGGACGCTGCCACTGGGCCCTTCGGCGGAGCTCCCTGTAGGGCCACGACATGTGTGATGGGTATGCCGAAACGGGTGCAATGCCGCCATGCGGACGCTGCCACTGGTGGCTTCGCTGGAGCTCTCCGTGGAGACACGAAACCTGTGAGGGAGGTGCCGAAACAGAAGCGGCACCGCCGCGCGGACGCTGCAGTGTGGGCCGTCGGCGGAGCCCCCCAATGGGGCAACGAAGCGTGTGAGGGGTGCACCGAAATTGAAGTGGGCACGGTGCCGCCATGCGGAGGATGCCGCTGCGGCGTGCGGTGCAGCTCCCCACGGGGCCACGAAACGCGCGAGCGGTGTGCCGCGGTGGGCGCGGCGCCACCGTGCGGCCGCTGCCACTGGTGGCTTCGGCGGAGCTCCCTAGGAGGAACATGCGAGGTGGTGTGCCAAAACAGGAACGTGCGGAGGGCAGAGGTGAGGGAGGGGCGGGAGGAGAGGAGAGGAGGAGACGCGGGGCGCTGCTGAGTCAAAACGAAGACACTAGACCACTGGATGGTCAGAGGAAATCGATCGGCGCATTCCCGCGCAGCGTCGGCTGCCCACGAGATCTTCCCGGGGCCAGCGGAAACGAGCAAACCCTGGATTTGCGTGATTGCCTGCCTCCATCACAGTTGCAGGATAATCCATAATAGAATCGTGAATCCGAATCGGCAATCGAATCCATCGAGTCGGCATGCAAATCGGAGGGCATGGAGATCGAGGTCCGCTGGCCCGAGCCTCTGCATACACAAAGGAACATTCAAACCGAGATCGGAATCCAGAGTCGAGCCGAATCGAAATCGAAACCCTCGAAATCGAACCGACTCGAATCGGCAGAGTCGAACTGGCCCCTGCAATTGCTTTCTCGTTCCAGGCCCCGACGCAGGCGATCTCTGCGCGCAATGGCGCGCCGCAGCCCACGATCCTAATCTGTCGAGCACATGCTGCGATGCCAGGAGCTCGGCGGCGAGCGAGGGGGGGAAGTGAGAAGGAGAAGGCCTTCTCAGAAGGCGGCGAGACTTCTCAGGAGCCCTCGCGCCTTCTGAGAAGTATTATGTGCCCTCGCGGAAGGCTTAGGAAACTTCTCAGAAGGCTGGGGGACTTCCGAGCCTTCTGAGAAGGCCCGCCCCTTCCCACTTTTCCCCCGGGCTCGCCGCCGAGAGAACAGCGCAAAACTTTCACCGCGCGCGCCCCCTGCCCCCCAGCGAGCCGGCCTCCGGAACAGGGCCGTCCTGCCAAGCGCGGTGCCGCCGAATGGCAGCCGGCCGCCGATGGCGTCGATCCCCTCCGGAGGGCTGGGGGCGGGCGCGCGGAGAGGGCCGGCCTGGCTGGTGCGGTCAGGGCCGAGATGCGAGGGCGTCGACGTCGAGGACGCCGACAGCGGTCGGCGGCGAGCGAGGGGGGGGAGTGAGAAGGGGCGGGCCTGCTCGGAAGGCGGCGGGGCTTCTCAGGAGCCCGCGGGCCTTCGGAGAAGGTTGCTATGCCTTCGGGGAAGGCTTGGAAAACTTCGCAAAGGCCCGGGGCCTTCCGAGCCTGCTGAGAAGGCCTTCTCCTGCTCACTTCCCCTCCTCGCTCGCCGCCGGAGTCAGGGCCGACATGCGAGGACGTCGACGTCGAGGGCGCCGACATTGGGGAGACGAGAGAGGACGCGCACGCCAAGCCACGCACACGAGTGTTCTCCCATTCTGCGGGGCCGCCCACACGTGACGAGCGCTCGCGTGATGCACTCCCTCGAGGCCCACGTCTGTGCACGTGCGCGCACGTCTCTCTCGTTCGCTCCTGGGGCGTGCCCGTTGCGGAGGCCGGGGCGCCCCGCCTGAAAGGGGGGAGCGAAGGGTACCGATGCCGCTGCTCCACGGCCCTCTCCCGGGGCGCGCTCTGGCCAGCATCTCGAGAAGAATCCAGTCGCGCGACGAGGAGGAGGAGGAGGAGGAGGAGGAGGAGGAGGAGGAGGAGGATGAGGAGGAGGAGGAGGAGGAGGCCAGGACTCCGGACGAGCAGCGGCGCCATCACCTGTTCCTCCTCAGAGCCCGAAGGTTCTCGTCGCCACGGGGTGCGCTCTGACCAGCATCTCGAGAAGAATCCAGTCGCGCGACGAGGGCTATTCGGCTACACGCAAGAGTGACCCTGGGTAAGAGTGACCTTTGGTGCGCGGCTTTTGGGGGTCCGCGGGGGGACCAAACTCAGGCGCGCAAGACGCTACTATCGCATCGCAATCGGTGATCGGGGGACCCCATTGTGCCCGCACCAGAGGTCACTCCAGCGAAAGGTCACTCTTACGTGTAGTCGAGCTATCCAGGACTCCGGACGAGCAGCGGCACCGGCACCTGCTCCTCCTCAGAGCCCGAAGGTGCTCGTCGCCACGGCTATAGACACGGCTCAGAAGCAAGGCCGGAGGAACCCTGGGAGCAGGGGTTGATCTTGGTCGAAGTGCTCTTCTCTCCTGCCGCCTCCTCCCTCTTTGAGACGGCTGTGGCAGGGTCTCACACATCTTCGCGTCGGCTCCGCCCGCGTTCCATCGTGGGGTACGTGTCGGCTAGCTCGAGATCCTGAAATCAGGAGTCAAAGCATGTCGGCGCGCCGCGTCTACTTCCGCCGGCGAATCCTGGCGCCGACGTTTTACTTCCGCCCGCCTTCCGCCGAGGGCGAGATGGCGCCGAAGACGAAGCCCTTTGTGGAACGCCCCAGGTGTTTAGCAAGGTTTGGGCCACGATGTGATGTCCGAAAGGGCCCGGTAACCTTCCGATTTACGGCCCCACGTGCCCTGTGATCCTTCAGCTCAAAGATCTAGCCCCTGAGCGTCACCATGTCGACCAGGGAGGCGACGACTGCTGAACTGAAGCATTTCGATACGCTGGAACACCGAGATCCTTGAGCTCCGTAGTCTTGGGCCTGGTCGCCATGGTGACGCTCAGGGGCCAGATCGCTGAACTGAAGGGTCCCAGAGTGCGTGCTAGCAGCGATCCCCTTGGCACTGCCTGAGCGTGCCCCAGCTGCTGCACAGGGGAGCGAAGGCCAGGGAGGGTTGCCAGGGGGCCGTTTGGGGGGCCATATTGGGCTACGTTGGGG